TCTGGAACTGACTGGGACCTTGTCCCCTGCATCGGACCAAAGTCCGGAACTAACTGCATCGGACCGAAGTCCGGAACTGACTGGGACCTTGTCCTCTGCATCGGACCAAAGTCCGGAACTAACTGCATCGGACCGAAGTCCGAAACTGACTGGGACCTTGTCCTCTGCATCGGACCGAAGTCCGGGACTAGCTGTATCGTACCGAAGTCCGGAACTAACTGCATCGGACCGAAGTCCGGAACTAACTGCATCGGACCGAAGTCCGGAACTGATTGGGCATAGCATAGCATAGCAAAACATATCATAACACACATGATCATAAACTCATATACTGCATACTACGTCAGGCCGTAGCCCATAACACGTAACACATAACTCCTGTCTGAGCCACGAAGGCATCAAACAAACTAACAACTGCATCAGACCAAAGTCCGGAAACTACTGCTACTAAACGGGCCGGCATTGTGGCCTTAGACCCGTTCCTACTGGAAGGAAACTCACCTCGTAAACTGGATGCTGAGTGTATGACTCTGGAATCTAACTGCTTCTGCTCCGGTATCTCCCTGGCTACAAGTCCATAAACACACTCAATCAAATACTAAACACTGCACTTGGGTAAAATGACTCTTTTACCCTTGGTCACAGTCAACTCTCATTTGACCTGACTCGCCGAGTTGGGCCGCCAACTCGCCGAGTCTCTACTCTCACACCTCAACCCTACTCGCTGCTACTCGTCGAGTATGGCATCGACTCGACGAGTACCCTCTCGATCCAAGAACTCAGACAATCTTCATCCGACTCGCCGAGTCATATGAACAACTCGACGAGTTGTTCTTGAACTTAAGAAGATTGCCTTGAACTCGCCGAGTTGTATGAACAACTCGCCGAGTCCCTCCATTACTGAGTCTACCCTCAACTCGCTGAGTCCACCCTACTACTCACAGGTCCCACACGACAGACACTGCTCAAAAGGAAGGAATCGAGGACTCGCGACTTGACTCGCCGAGTCGTTCTTCCGACTCGCCGAGTCACCGCCATGCAACTATTCTACACTCGTTTCTGCCCGAATCCAAAACATACAAATGATAGATCTGAGTCCAATAAGCTGGTTTACCACGTAAAGTTTCCAACTTTATGTGCACAAACACAAGAACAAGGGAATTAAGGCTAAAAGATGCATAAAAGGGGTAGATCTAGGGTTAATATGCAAAATAGCTCCAAAAAGGCAGTAGATCTAGGCTCTACAAATCCTAAATACACAGATCTAAAGATATCTCGGCATGATAAGGCTTCCATATCAACATAAGGCTTGAGAAAGGCATCAACTAGATCTAAAAAGGGCTTTTAAGCATAAAAAGGGAAAGAAACTAGAAGAATACCTTAAAGAGCTCTTGCTTTCCCTTGAATCTCTGCTCTACACTCCTTCTCCTTGCTCCTTTCTTCTTCTCCTTCTTCAAACCTTCACAAATGCACACAAAATCACTTACAAACACTCAAGGACGAATTAGGGTTTTTCTCACAGCTCTGAGGGTGAAGGAGGCGAGAATGAGGGCCATAAGGTGGCTTAAATAGTGGGCAACCCGGGGATTTAGGGTTTCACCCAGACAGACAGACTCGCCGAGTCCGGAATATGGACTCGCCGAGTCTCCAGCTAACACGTGCTCGAAACCCCGACCCTACTCGGCGAGTCAGGCTATGAACTCGCCGAGTCCCTCTTGCAAAACTTCAAAACAAATACCAAGGAATTAACATACCGGAAACGGGTCATTACATACGTGACATGGTGCATATATAGGAAAATGACTTATTAAGGTAACTAACTATTGCAGTTATCCATATATAGGTAATGTTCTTTTTTTTCGTACACATTAAGGTAAATAACTTGTTTTGTTTGTTCACATTTAGGTAATACGAACGACTATCACCTGTTTTTGCTTATGTGGTATCCACTTGCTATATGACTTGAATACGTTGCACCTACGTGGCATCCACCTAGCATACGACTTGTTTTGTTTCTTCTTCCTCATCTTATTCTTTAAAACAACAAGATGAATTTCAAGCTGATCATCCATGTAATTGCGGCTTACCATCTCGTGTGAAGATTTCAAGAACCCCTGACAACCATAGAAGAAAATTTAGAGTTTGTCAAAACTCGATGGTAAATCAATATTGTTGAATATGTTGCAGGAGTTCTTGAAATATTCACACGAGATGGTAAACCACAATCACATGGATGATCAGCTTGAAATTCATCTTGTCATTTTGAAGAATAAGATGAGGAAGAAGAAGCCATCTTCAATCGATCTAGGGTTTAGAATTAGGGGTGGAATCGTATGACACAATTATAGTGTAATCGAATGAAGACAATATATGCACCATGCCACGTAGGTGCAACGTATTCAAGTCATATGCCAGGTGGATGCCGCATAAGCAAAAACATGAGATAGCCGGTCATATTACCTAAATGTGAACAAACAAAACAAGTTAGTTACCTTAATGTGTACAAAAAAAAATAACATTACCTATATACGGACAACTAAAATAGTTAGTTACCTTAATAAGTCATTTTCCCATATATGCACCATGCCACGTAGGTGCAACGTATTCAAGTCATATGGTAGGTGGATGCCACATAAGCAAAAACAGGTCATAACCGTTCATATTACCTAAATGCGAACAAACAAAACAAGTTAGTTACCTTAATGTGTACAAAAAAAAAGAACATTACCTATATATGGACAACTGAAATAGTTAGTTACCTTAATAAGTCATTTTCCCTTTTTTGGTGTTACACTTGGAAATTGTATGTTTCTTACATTTACTTTCACTCTTAACTCCGTTATTTTTATTTTTATTTTTTTTCTTTATGATTATAGGGACAACTGTTTGTTCATCAAATACAACCATTTTAGGGCTTTTCTTCTATCAATTTTAGGCGCTAATGAGGTAAATACTTCTGATCATTTAAAATTAGTAATTTTGGAATATCCCATGGAAGTAGTCAATGTATGATTTTTATCGCCCATTACAGGTCCGTTTTCCTCTACTGGTCCCTTTTTTTGGTATTGCATATTAAAAATTGTAAGACCGTAGAAAGTATGGTTCAAAAAACTCAGACATGTTTCTCAAGAAAGCTCAATTTTGCAAAATCTTCATTACTAAGTTTAAAACAATAAGTGACATCTATTTGTATAAAATTCACTATCATTAGGTTGCAATTTTGTCAATTCATTCATTGGAGCATGCTTGGTAATACATTTAAAGATCTTAACAAAAGGCCAACAGAAAACTTCAATTTTTTGTAATTTGTTTTCATTTTTTTTTACCAAAAACCAAAATACATGTCTATTTATTGCATTCGTTTTCATATATATATTTATGTGGTAAAAGCACTAAATAGCAATGTACTTTCAATTTACATTTTGTATTTGTTTTTATATAAAAAATATATCACTAATGAATTTGTTTTTTTTTAAAATGATTTGTTAGTTTTTTATATTCTCCATCAAATCATTCACACTTTCTTTGGATCTAAGGTTTAATTGATTTTTGTATAAGACTTGAAATAGAACAATGCTTCCTCCTTCTGTTATGATACACCTTATGAATTAACACCTTATGAATGTTGTATGTGGTTTGTGTATGTTTTGTAGTGAATGTATGGGTTTATTAGGTAGAAAAGCAATAGCAACTATAGACGACACACACCATTTCATTTACATTTACTTGAAAACTCTTGCTTCACTCCAAAGCTACAACTGTGAAAAAAGCTCCTTCCGACCCATACGAAGCATGGGTTCTTTTCTAGTTATTATTATTTTAATTGTAAGGGGGCAATCGGTAAATCAACAAATTAAAAGGGCTTAAAAGAGCTGCACGACTTAACCAAAAACCACCACCATCATTTGTTTGTAGATCGGTAGAACCCTAGTCGTTGTTCATGACCTCGCCGTAATCAAGGACGCCATCGCTCACCGACTCGATTGCACCGTCAATGCTCCCATCACTCGAATATGCCGCCGCCGACTGCTTCCTTTTCACCGACATTCATCTCCAACAACAGTCAATTTTACCATAACATCTAGGGTTAATACAAGTATTGTGCCCTCTCTTCTCTCCTTCCGCCCTCTCCTTTCTCGTACATCGTTGCCGTTACTGCCGGAGACGGCTGCTTAGTACCTTCCAGTGCTCAGCCTCCACAAAGTCGAAGACGGAGAAAGTCATTGGTATATTTGGTCCTTCCGGCGCTGGAAAAATCCGACTCACATTAGAGATTTCTAAAAAACTTAATGTCGAGATAATCATCACAAATTCTGTCTATGGTATATATAAATTTAGCTATATCTTATTCCATGAAAGATTGCAGTACTTCTTTTTAAGCTTCTTGGATTATTAGTGTATAAATCATTCTCAATCGTTAATCCTTTATGTTTGTTGAAGTTGATAAAGAAAATGAGTTTTTGATGAGAAAATGGTAGGAAAAAATGTTTGTTTCAGTTGGGAAGTGATTTTCATCACCAGAGCTTGAAGTGCCATTTGTATTTTGATCACCAGATAATTTATTACCATTATTACCAGATCCTCCTATTTCAAGTGCAGATGCAAGATCCAAAGTGTGATTTGAAGTCCATTGGCTCACCAAGAGCAGCTGCAGCAGAAGGTGCCTCCACTGGTACCACAACATCCTATTCACTGCAAAAAAAGTAATATAATTTGAGCCAAAAAAGTATTAAAACTGTTAAATCTTCATTTATAGTAGATGTTTATAAGGAAAAACAGATGCATATATTGTTCTAAAGAAGAAAAATTGGTGACAACTTAGCATACCCTGCCATTCTGCTCTGTTTGATCGAATCTTCTGTCAAACTGTTTCAAAAAGAAAGCTAAGTCATAAATATTATATCACATTTGTGATGTTTGTTCTACTATTTATTTTAGTTGACATAAATGCGAATGAAATCAAAACAGGGAAATTGAGTGCTTTTCTCCGAATGTGAAGGATGAACAGGCCAACCTTTAAAGGTCTCAATCAAGAAGCTCTTTTGGCTTTTATAGAGATGCACTCATTGAGTATTAGGTGTAATGAGTTCACATTCCTTAGTATCCTCAAAGCTTGCTCCATGAAGAAGGAAACAGATACATGGAATTGTGGTGGTGACCAGTTTGAAAATGATGTTTATGTTGCAAATATTATGCCCTATTGGTGTGTTCTCAGATTATTTTACTCTTTTGTTAAAGTTATGTAGATTTGAACAAACACCTCTTGAGCATGTGGATGGGGATGCAACTCTAGTAGGATCTCAATTAACTCCAAAAGAATTACAAGGATCAAAAGAGCTCATAATCAAAGAGTTATTATAAGCTCTTTTTCTGTTTTTACTAGTATATAGGTTTTCTTATTACACTTTGTTAACTTCTTAAACTTATTAATGAATTTGATGTAACTATATGTATATATACAAGAGATAAGTACACCTGTGACCAGACATGTATATAGTATTTTACATTGTAAGTGCTTGTTCTTTTGAGTTTTGACTTAATGTAATTAATGAGAACAAGACATAATATGTTTTTTTTTTTTCCTTTTTTACTTAATACATACAGCACATCTGAATGGGTTGATTGAAGGAGATAGCCTTTATATATTCTGACCCTCACTTGTTGGTCAAAATTGTTCAAATTGTTTTTGTCAGGTTAACATAATAAAATGTTTTTACTAATTTACACGAATGTCTTTTATATGTTTTAATTGATTTTTTTTTTTTTTTTGGTCGAGGTCTTTTCTGTGGATCTGCCAGATCAGCAAATCCCAAATAAAGTATACAAAATGTTTTAGGTAATCAGTATATCCTAAGTACATAAATACCCTTTAGTATGCTTGTTGTTCCTGAATTTGAAAAGGAAATTAAAATTTGATGGTGCTTACAAGACACTCATAAGGTAATTTTTAAAGATAATTTTATTAAGTTTATTTTTATTTTCATATCAATAACATGTATTGTCTTGTGCAACATCTTATATTGCTTAGGAATGAACGAAGTCCATTTTAAATGGTCCCTCCATTAAGAACTACCTCTTTTCTCTCTCTCTCTCACACACACACAATACTAAGTTACATGTGATTGAAGGTGTACTTGGTTGCAGGTGTGAGTGTATGAAATGGAAAAGATATCATCAAAGCTTTAGTAGTGATGGGAGAAAGATGGTGTCTACATCATGCGGGAGACACCTTATGGGTTTTTGTTATTTTGTATAAATATGTAAATTATTTTTAAACTGTCGATATGTATTTGAAATTTATGGTTTTAATGTTTATTGAATATTTGAAACTTTTTACTTTTTTTTTTTTTTTTTTTTTATTGATTTTAAAATATGGATTTGATGTTATATTTTAAGATTCTTTTGTTTTGAATATATAAAAATTTTAGTTTTTTCATGAAATTTAATTATTTTTATAATGCTATGATCCGTTGATAATCTTATACCGGATCATTCCGTTGGTATTCCATTGCAAATAATCTGTTACAAGAAAATCCTTTATTGATTACCGATGGAAAAATCTGTTGTTAAAAATTTGTTGTAGCCGTCGGAAATCTGTTACAAACAATTAGCGACAATTACTGATAGATTTTAGTTTGTTACAATTCCGTCGGTAAAGAGTATTAGCGATGAATTACCGACAGTTTTGGCCATCACTATACTCTTTTTTGTAGTAGTGTCTACCTGCAGACCCGATAGTGCTTTGTAAATGACTACCCATCGGGGATTGGGCTGGGGATGGGATCAATTTTCATATTCGGGAATGGGGTTAGGAATTCCAAAAGTTGTCCCAAACCCGCCCCATTGCCATCCTTAGTGGGTAACATGGTGGAGAGAGAGGGAGAGAGAGATATTTTTATTTTATTTTAAAATTAAATAATAAAAAGTAAAAAAAAAAAAAAGTTTCAAATTATTTTAAAACCGCAACATTTCAAATTATAAGTACAGTCAAAGTATAAAAATGTTAAAGCACTGAACTTGCAAGTTTGACAAACTATAAGAAAGATTTCAACATTTGTTCTCTATAAAATACAATAGATATACCCTAAAACCCAAAAACCGCTGCAACCTGGAATTTATTAGCAGACATCTATTTCAAATTTCGTTATTTAACTAAAGAATTTATTTAAACGGCGGTTTAGTTTTCTCCGCTGCAACTTGGAGCTCTCTGTTGTCTGCTTTCCACTCGTAGAGAAAAGAGATCATCGTAGTCTCCGATGTTGTACAATGTGCATAGCATAAAGAACGCTCAAGTCGAAAGCCGCTTACCCACTTCTATTTTGATTATCTGTAGATTATTTGAAATTTGTGTTCAAATTGTCTTCAAAATCAACTCTTACCATTGGGTTTATACATTTGAGCTTGATCATATCATCTTGATCAAAATCTTTTGGCCAATTTCACTAACCTTAAGTTTTTGTTATTGAGTTTCTTTTAGTTTAAAGCTTTTGGAACGAGGGTCGTTCCATAAAAGTGAAAATTATGAAAGGTGAGAAGTTAGGGTTTGTAATTTACGTTTGGTTTTTGTTTATGTATGGATCTTGTTTGTGTAATTTTGTGGTCGAGAAGAACAGCTTGAAGGTAATTGCACCCGAAAATTTAAGAGATACATATGAATGTGCAATCGGTGATTTTGGCGTTCCTCGATATGAAGGAACATTAAGCGGCTTAGTTGTATATCCAAAATTCAATCAACTCGCTTGCAACAACTTCACTGATCATATCCCTTTGATATCAAAGAAACCCGGTAGCCTCCCCGTTTTTCTTCTTGCAGATCGTGGTGGTAATAATAATACTTTAAGTCTTTAATTAACCACATCATGCATGGTTTATCATGTTTTATTTTTCTTTATGTTCATCTGTTTCTTGAATTTTCAGATTGTTACTTAACGTTGAAGGCATGGAATGCACAAAACGCAGGGGCTTCAGCCATTCTAGTTGCAGATTACTGGCGTAGAGACTTGATCGCCATGGATTTTCCCAAAGATGAAGAAGGAGAAGAGCCTCCTTACGTACAAAACATAACCATCCCATCAATACTCATAAGCAACTCACTTGGGGTTTCAATCAAGAAAGCTTTAGAAAACAATGGTCTTGTTTTTGTAAATCTTGATCGGAGAGAAGCTCTCCCTTACGCTGATGAAAGGGTCGAATACGAGCTTTGGACAAATAGCAATGATGAGTGTGGGCCCAAGTGTGATACCCAAATAGATTTTGTTAAAAGCTTTAAAGGAGTTGCTCAAATACTTGAGAGAAAAGGGTACACTCGATTCACACCACATTATATCACATGGTTTTGCCCTGAGGAGTATGTTTCAAGCACAAAGTGCAAGTCTCAGTGTATCAACCATGGAAGATATTGTGCTCCAGATGTAGAGCATGAGTTTAGTAAAGGGTATGAAGGGAAAGATGTTGTTGTTCAAAATTTACGCCATGCTTGTTTTTATAAAGTAGTGAATGAAAGTGGAAAACCGTGGGTTTGGTGGGATTTTATGACAGATTTTGCTACAAATTGCTCAATGAAGGAGCATAAATTCACAAAAGATTGTGCGGATGAAGTTATCAAGTCACTTGGTGAGTTATATGATGAAAGTACATTTGTGTATTTGAATACTGCTTAATTCTTTGTCTAATTTTGAGTCCATGTGCTTCTTAGGAGTTGATCTCAAGAAAATTGATGAATGCATGGGTGATCCAGAAGCAGATGCTGAAAATGCAGTCCTCAAGGCTGAGCAACAAGCACAGGTGTGGTCTAAAAAAAAATATATATATTTTTTTTGGTGGATTTGTAGTTTGTATATGTGATGATATGATCTTTCATGTTGTTGTATATATAAAGATAGAGAAAGGTATTCGTGGGGATGTGATGATCCTTCCAACTCTTGTAATAAACAACAGAGAATATGGAGATAAACTTGATAAAAAAACAGTTCTGAAAGCCATCTGTTCAGGATTTGAAGAGACCACAGAGCCATTAATTTGTTTAAGTTATGGTGAGTACAAAGCTTCATCTTTTTCTCTCCATTATTTCCAACAAAATGCTCAAGTAAAACATTAACATTATTATATAAATTGGTAGAAAAGTGAAAGTTTGTTGAATAAATAAGCATTTAACATATGTGGCAAATAGGTAAAGATGTTGCTGGAAGCGCTGGGTGGAGTTTTGCATGGAGTGTTGTTTTTGGTGTGGCAGCTATTGGAATTGTTGGATATACGTTCTACAAATATAGAGTTCGAGTACAAATTTACCTTTTCCCTGTGTTTATTTATTTATTTATTTTTGACCATTTTTCCACTTTCATGAAACTAATTAATATATGTAATCTTGATGTAGAGATACATGGACTCGGAGATCAGAGCTATCATGTCACAGTATATGCCATTGGATGATGAAGGGGAGGTTCCTGTTCATGGATCTCATGGAGAAATCTAAGCAGCATACATGTGCTTTTGGTGTTCATTTGTATACTTTGATACCATCTCATGTATTTTATATAATAGTTTGTTATAAGATTGTATGTCAATCTTATATAGTTATATGTATATAATGGTGAACTGGATGACATTGCCATGGTTTAGTGATTTGTGAGTTATATAAACTACATTTTTCTCAAGAATCGATCAGTAAAGGATAATACATGAGGAAATTTAATTTGCAACAGCAAGCAAAACAATTATAAACTATCATTTTTGAAGCTAGGAAATAAATTATTTTGTTTCATTTAAACAAAATGGATCTGAACTCTTAAAACCTCCTACTTTTTCATACCGCACTTCCATTCTTTTTTTTTTTTTAATCTCATTTCTTAGTTTGTAGTTATTTTCCATACAGTGTAAATATTATTGTTAATATTTTATATTTTCTATAGTAAAGTCCCTAAAGTTTGGTTCCATTGATGCAAAACCATCCCTGATTTATTTATTTATTTATTTATTTTTGCATTTAGCCCAAAAAACTGTAAACACTTTTAAAAATAATCTTTGTTCCTGATTAATACCGATTTCTAGGGATTTTGTATCATCCCAAAAATCAAGGTAGAATTTTCATTTTTAAAAACCAAACTAAAAACCATAAATGTTCACAAAACATAGTTTCCAAGAATCAAGATCACAAATCAGTGTATCTCAAAATCATATCTCATAAATTCTGAAGGATAGATGTGCATGATCAAGCCTTCACCTTGTCCCAATCATCTGAAATACCTAAAACATAACACTTAAACTGTAAGTCAAAACTAAGTGAGTTCCCCCAAAATACCACACACAACCAAACCATTATACATATTGCATGTTGGATCCACAGTATCCCGACTGGATTACCTTGGAGAACAATCTCCTAATTGGATTGTCACTGGCCTACAATCTCCCGATTGAATTGTTCGGGTTTTTTGGCTGACAACACAAAGCAATACAACCTCAATGCACCCACAATATGTCGACATATCTAACATACATACACATAATATCATCCTATATACCATGATATATAATCTAGTGGGCTGACATTGGTGCCTTCGATCCACAAGTACAGTGAAGAGAAACTTACCTCACAGTCCGGAATGTAGTTGAACAGATCACAACTCTAACTATTGACTCTACCGGTTACCTATACAATAAATAGTTACCTAAACTCAATCTACCACCCAAAATACCCAAAATGCCCCTAAGTCAAACTTGGTTAAACCCCTTGTCAAAGGTCAATATCAGAAAGTCAAAGCAAATTGAGTAAGCCCTGCATACTCAGTCACTACGTTGGTGTAGTCGCGATCCATATAAGTTACAGGGTTCTTGGCTAGTACGCACAGCGTATTCCCTGGTATGCCAGTATACTCGGCCTGAATTTACTCTTTCTTGTTACGTGCTTAATCTATCAAGACTTAACATCTAAAGATCATATCAAGATCCAAAGAACATTCTATGTCATAAAGTTTCCAACTTTATGACTTTCCATGGCTAGAATGAGTCCAACAACCAAACCCCAACTTAATACACAACCAAAATCTCATAACTCATGCATGAAGAAAGGAAAGGGATCAAGATCACATTTTTATGGTTCTTAACACGTAAAAACATCTAAAATGACAACTCTTATGGTTAGAGTAAGTCGTACTCATGAACACTAACTTAAGAGACCAAAATGAACACAAACTCTAGGCTTGCAAGATCTAAGAAAATAACTCATCAAGTTTCAAACTTTATACCTTCAAAGGATGCTTAAGGGTGAGATACTTCTGGATCTTGGTTGCCTTGAGCTTCCAAAATTATTCCACTATCTCCTCCTTTCTTCAAGAACAAAACATATACATTCTCAATCTCAAAATGCTCACACAATGGATTAGGTTAGCAAAGGACTATTTTGGAGATGGCAGTTGATGAGGGAAAGGGTATTGAGGAGATAAGGTGTAACGCCCCATTTCTGGTATGCAATTAAATAAAGTATTTTCATTTCTTAATGGGTACTCGATGAGTCTGTAGCCAGACTCGTCGAGTAGATAGGGGATGATCACGCGATTTAAGTTGGCTACTCGACGAGTCCATATATTGGGACTCGGCGAGTTTGCCTGTTTGGATGAAGCCCTAATTTCAAGGGTTTGCACCCTATTTAAACACATTTATGCGCCCCAAACCAGCATCCATCACCCTTAGAGCGTCCCTTACTAAACCCTAGCCTCCCTTTAAGCTTTTTGGAGTATTTCTCATCTTGTGAAGGATTTTTGGTGCATTTTGAAGTTAGAAGAAGAAGAGAGAAGAGAGGTTTTCAAGAGGAGTAAAGGAGATATGAGTTTCTTGTGTCTTTCCAGCCTCCATTAAGGTATAAAGCTCGAATTTGACTTTTCATCATGTAGATCTTCTTAAAAGCTTGCTAGTGTTGCTTTTGAGCCATTTTCTAGACATTGAGGTCGATTTATGGGAAGTTAAGATGAATGGGTTTCAGATCTAAGCATTTCTGGACTCCTTGAGCTCAAGATTGCCACCTTTGTTGAGCTAAATACCCATTCCAAACCTAGATCTCCTCTTTTAGCTTCTTATTGGGCATTTTAGCTTCTTATGTGCATGCATGAACGTAAAGTTAGAAACTTTACGTGTGAAATCAGTCCTAGGAACCCAAATCTATGTATTGGATGCAATGGAATCAAGCAAAATCAACTGTATAGTAATGGCATGCTTGGGACACGGCGAGTTGTTCTTCAGACTCGACGAGTCGAGTCGCGAGTCCCCGTTTTTCCCCGATTTGAGAGTTTAGGGTGAATTAGTGAGTGGGAATGGACTCGGTGAATTAGAGTTCGGATCTTGTGAGGGAGGGACTCGACGAGTCTACGCCCTAACTCGGCGATTCCGGTCAACTGGAAGTTGACTTTGACCAAGGGTAAAATAGTTATTTTACCCTGAGGGCATTTATCTGTACATGATTTAGTGTTTTTGGGATTTGTAGCCGGGGAGTTTTGGAGCAGCAGTCAGCCAGTTTTAGAGTGAGTATCTCAGCAGACAGCGTTACGAGGTGAGTTTCCTCCAGTAGGAACGGTTCTACGACCATAATGCTGGCCCATCTAGTTAGCAGTAGTTCTGGACTTCGGTCCGATGTAGTAGTTCAGTGTGCTTGATGTCTTTGTGATTCAAGCATGTCTTTGTGTTATGTGTTCTGGAGTTCGGTCCAATGCAGTATGCAGTATATGTGTTCATGCTAGTTGATATGTTTATGCTATGCTATGTTTAGCTCGTTTCCGGACGTTAGTCCGATGCAGGGGACAAGGTCTCAGTCGGCTCCAGACTTCGGTCCGATGCAGTTAGTTCCGGACTTTAGTCGGATGCAGGGGACAAGGTCCCAATCAGTTCCAGACTTCGGTCTGATGCAGTTTCCGGACTTCGGTCCGATGCAGTTTCCGGACTTCGGTCTGATGTAGTGGGCAAGGCCCAATAGTTGTTTATTTGTTATTGTATGGTATGTGGTAGTTTGGGGGAGCTCACTAAGCTTTGCACTTACAATTTCAGTTTTGATTTCAGGTACTTCCGCAAACAAAGGGAAGAACTCGGGTTGATAGCATCGCACACACCACAGTTTTAGTTTTATCCTGGGGGTTTTATTCGGATATTTTGATATGATTGATACAGTTTGTTTTGACACAGTTGCTATGACTTTTGAGTTATTTATTCCATGGTTTTTATTATGATTGACATTTGATGATGTGATTTTTAGTAAAATTAAAACAAAAATTTTTGGGTTGTAAATTCTGGATGTTACATAAGGATGTTTAAATAAGGCTCAAACCCTAAAAGTTAATGTTTGATCAATCGTTACGTATGCCCAACATACTCGTGAGTGCACCTAACGTACTCACATGAATGGGCGACTTCATTAAACGAGCAATGCCATGCGTATGCCCCAAGTACGCATGGTGTAAGGAACTAACTTGCCACATAATTATACTTTTGGGTCAAAAAAGGAATTACCTGACTTCTGGGTGTTACAGATTTTTTGAAAATTTGAAGGACTTTTGTAACACCCATAATAATCAATCCAATTTAAAACTTTTTCGTACATTCAAAACCATTAAGTTATTACAAAGTGTTTTCAAAATAGTTTGAACATCATAGTATCCCAGAAATCCAAATCATAAAAATGTGAGGAGGTGCACGATCACGTATTCACCTTCCTGCGATCATGTGAAGTACCTTAAACAAAATCCAAAACTATAAGCTCGAAGTTTAGTGAGTTCCCCCAAAATACCCATACATACAACAATATACATATAATCACAAACAACATATTATGGGTCCAATCAACCGTCAGGTTGGAATACCACAAGCCCTCAACCATCGGGTTGGAATGTCAACATATTATGGGTCCAATCAACCATTCGGTCGGAATACTGTAACGCCCGTAGATCCGGGCTAGTCAATTTAGAGACGATAGGCATCAAAAATGAATTTTTTGATGAAATTATTTATAATGAATAATCTTAAATAAGTTATAGTATATGTTACAAGGTTTCTGTGCATATAAAGAACGTCGAAATCCGAGTTATAACGAAGTAGTTATGACCTGTCGAAGTTTCGCGACGATACCGACACGACGCTGAATGACGTAAAAAGTGAATTTACGTTAGAGTGATATTTAGCCTTATCAATCTAAACAAAATTCGTAGAGTTCGTTAAACCATGAGCGTGCATAAAAAGAACGTCCAAATCTAACTTCGTATGAGGAAGTTATGATTTTTCTAAGTTTGGACTTAGCGGTATGTAGCCCGAATACTCGATTTGAGATCGAGCGGTTTTTAGCCAAAACAATATAAACGAGAATTGAAGATCTCGTCAATTGTAGTGAAACGATAAAAAGATAGGCGAAAACGGACGTCGGATGAAGAAGTTATGAATTTATAACGGAGTTATCCTGTCCCGTCCTACTAAAAATAAATAGTAAAAATAAAGTCAAAATTAGC